TTGTTTTCATGGCTCTAAAGACTAAAAGAAATGTTGAAACAAGGAGGAATCCTTCAAGAAAGGCTTTTAGTTCATCAATGAGACTTTCATTCAATCAAAATTTTACCAATTCTGATGCTAAGGAGAGATATTAAACACATTTTGCTCATAGAAAAGTCAAGCATGGAAGGGTAATCTCTCTTGAATTCCTACAATCTATTGAGTTCCCTTATTTACATACGTTTGAGAGATTTAGGTCGATAAACTACTTGTGCATGGATGAAATTTTATTTGAGAATCTAGTTAAAGTATTTTATAACAATGCTACTTGTATTGAAATTGAAGGATCCGCACATAGATATTATCCTGATAGATTCAAAATTTATGTGATGGGCAAAAAAATTATAGTTAGTAAGTAATTATAAGCTAAAGTCTTTATGATAGATGATGAGGGAGACACCAACATTAGGTGTGACATATTGAAACTAGCTCAAGATATATTTAGAAATGACAATTTAAGAGTTGCTCATACTTAAGCCACTAGACTTTTAATGCATGATAGATTGTTACACCTTATTGTCACTCATGTATTGGCACATTTTGGCACTCAATACTCAACCATTAGGAAATAAGATTACTGATGGATGTATAAAATCAAACATAAAAAAAAAAAACTCAATTTGGTGCATTTATTTTTAGTGATATGATAAAGGTAGTACAAAATAGAGACCACACCTTAGTTTATGGATTTACAATCAGTAATCTTTTGAAAAAATTGAACATTAATATTAGAGAAGATAAACAGATTGTGTTCAATGATCCATTTAGCATTCTTGATGCCCATACTCTGTATGGTATGGGTTATATTCAAAATGCAATAGGTTTGTGGGTTAGAAAAACTGATATTGAGGCTGTGCAAGAAAAGGACGAAAAGCATAAAATTCATATATTCTTGATGCACATTAAGGAAAACTTTCTATCCCACTATTTGATACCCAAAGAGCTTGAGAAATGCTTATGTTTTATATGAACAGTCTATTTCAATGGTTAAGATTATGAATTCTTGATTGAAAAACATGAAAGTGACTCAAAATAAGCTAGTTTCCTAAGTTTGCCAAGTTAGAGTTGATATTGAACACCTCAAATCTACACAACAATAAATGGGGCAACACTTTCCTTATTCTCTACCTCATCCTTAATAATCCATCCTAATGCCATTCCTCATATGTTTTCCCACATCCTTTTTTTTATGTTGTAAATTTTTCCTTAAAAACTCTTTGCATTATGGTTTCTTATCAAACTTTGGTCTTTGATGTTTATATTAATGAAATATATATTTCATTTTCATTATGATATTTGCTATATTACTTTGAAATTTGGCATGTCAAATTATGGCTTGTGATATTGGTATATTCCTTAATGATTGGTATATTGCTTGATATTGAGATTGGTATGAACTTAAGTTGTCAAATTAAGTTGGTATGACCTTGAATTGATTGCCATTTTCTTTTGATTGACTTCATGCTTTTTACTATGACAAAAAAAAGGAGAAAAAATGGTATGAAAAATTTCTATTTGATTGATAATCTTGATGGTATGAAAAATACATACTAGATGATATTGACATTGTTCTTATTCTTAGTTGTTTTAAAATCTCTTAAAATTTCTTTATGCTTAAATTCAGGGGGAGCTTATTTTTCAACTGAAAACATATTTTTAAGCAAAATTTTTACTTGGTTTTGTCATATAAAAAATGGAGAGATTGTTAGCCTTAAATTGATTAAAACTTTTAAATTGACAAAACAAAAAATTACCTAACTTGAATCAAATTCTCTTAATCTCAAATTGAACATTTTTTCAGCCTTCTATCTTGTTAAAATTCATTTAGGAACTAAAATAAGACAAATTCTAAAAAAAAAAATGGATTAAGGCATGTTTTGGATAGAAGAGATTAATCTTCTAAGGGGAGGGATCGATCTTTTCCCTTACTCGATTGATCCCCTGGTCAAAGGGATCGATCCATATTTCTTTTAGTAGCTAAACTCATGGAAATTCATCAAGAACCAATTGATCTCCTTCCTGTAGGGATCGATTGGTTGGGGTTTAAACTTACCCGATCGATCCCTCCCTTAAAGGGATTGATTTATTTTTTATACAGAATGCAATCCTAGGTTAAAAATCTACAAAAGGGATTGATCCCCTCACATAGGGGATCGATCACCTAGGCATGGGATCAATCAGGTATATTACCTGATTGATCGGTAGGCTTTTTAAGGCACGAAATAAGCTTTCCTTATCACCGATCCAATCGATCCCCTACATGAGAGGATCGATTCCTTGATGCCCAGAAAGCTCCAATGGCTATTTTTTTATCTGATATTTTACAGGTTTTAAAAATTAAATGCAAAGCAACGGTTATATACTTTCTTTTATATATAAATGAAGTTTTCCACTACAAATTAATAGCATGAAAACTAAGAGAAATTATTACCTCCACCCAGTTTAAAGAGAGAAAAATGCAAAAAAAACCTTCTTGTATTAGTTTTTCTCTAAATCCTATTGCCAATATTGCTTTGTACTTTAAGCTAGTAAACATCCAACATTAGAGAAGTTCTTTAAGCTTGCATAACACTTCAAAAACTTTATATTATGAGATTGTGAGCTTAAGGGAGTGGATGGTCCTTAAGAGTTTGTGGTGTTGATTGTGTAAAGCTTGAAAAGCTAAGTTGTAACTTTCAACACATAGTGGATTGAATTCCTAGACAGGTGAGGCTAAAAGAGATGACGTAGGTACTTAAAAAAAGATTGAACCTTTATAAATCTTAGTATCTAATTCTCTATCTCTATCTCTTATCTTTAAGATTGTTAGTTTAACTTCTATCTCATTTTATTTAGTGTTAGTTTGCTCTTATTATTTAAAATTATTTTGCAGAATTTATGCTTATTAAGTATTGATTTTTGAAAATTTTATTATTAACCAATTCACCCTCCTTTTTGTTTATTTCAAGTGTTTGAGCTAACATATATGTTGATTGATTTAATTTCTCAAAATTAAGAAATTTTAATTTTTAATACTTTTAATATGAATTGAATTGAAAGTGATTTAAAGTCAATAATAAAAACATAAATATAATCAATTTAGTTTTTTAAACTAGATTTACTTTATATATTTACACATGAAATACATCAATTATTGGATATTATATTTAATCAAATATAAATGTATCAAATAATTGATTAGAGAATCAACTATTTTATAATTGTAATTGTAGTATTTATTTAATTATATATTGATTGATTTAATTTGTCAAATTAAGAAAATTTTAAAATTTTAATGCTTTTAATATGAATTGAATTGAAAGTAATTTAAGGTTAATAATAAAAACATAAATATAATAAATTTAGTTTTTTTAATTATTTTTAAATTAAAAATGCATTAAATAAAATAAAATATATTTATTAAATGTCACGAGACAATTTTTAAAATTGTCCACATAAGATTTTTTTTTTCATTTTTGCCAAAATTTTGACTTTTATATATTTATATAAGATAAGAAATTTTTAACTTATATAGCAGCTGGCATGGTTTAAATTAACATAAAAAAAAAAAAAACATTTTAGGCAAAAGAAAGAGAAAAAATATTTTTCAAGATAAAATAATTTAAGTTCTTTTCTGCCATCAATTACTAGATATTATATTTAATCAAATATAAATGTATCAAATAATTGATTAGAGAATTAAGTATTTTATAATTGTAATTCTAATTTTTTTTAATTATATATTGATTGATTTAATTTATCAAATTAAGAAAATTTTAAAATTTTAATACTTTCAATATGAATTGAATTGAAAGTGATTTAAGGTTAATAATAAAAACATAAATATAATAAATTTAGTTTTTTGAATTATTTTTAAATTAAAAATGTATTAAATAAAATAAAATGCATTTATTAAATGTCACATGACGATTTTTAAAACTATCCACATAAGATTTCTTTTTTCATTTTTGCCAAAGTTTTGACTTTTATATATTTATATAAGATAAACAATTTTTTACTTATATGTCAACTGACACGGATAAAATTAACATAAAAAAAACATTTTAGGAAAAAGAAAGAGAAAAAAATATTTTTCAAGATAAAATAATTTAAGTTCTTTTCTGCTAAAATATTTTTTCAGTATATAAAATATGAGTTTATATTTAATATATTGTCAATATATAAATACTATACATTATCAATAAATCATACAATAACATTTTATTAAAAATTAATTTTAAAATTATAAAATTATAAAAAATATATATATTTAAAATTATTTTTATCAAATATTATTGTAAGATTCATTAATCATGTACAAAATCTATAAACTGACATAATATCAAGAATATATCTTTAATAAATACCACCAATCTAAGTTCTTTGCCGGCTTCTCATTTGGATATTATATATGGATGTGAGCGTTTATGTGCCTTGCCTGGTTGTAATTGCAGTGTGACCGCTTTTTCATTTAATTATCATTTATTGACTGTAATATCAACCGGAATTATATTTTCATTCATTTGAGTTTATGGGATCATTGTTATCCTTTTTTTTTTTTCCCCTTTGGCATAGGTATTTTCGGAAGGATGACAATATGCCATTAACTGATTATTAATATCTGAAAATTATTTAATATGTACAAAATTAATTGTCTTAATCATAATTCTAATTTTATTATTACTGGCATATTCAGATGCCCATATGTTTTGGGTTGTTATTTTAATCCTAACATGAATAAGCAATGTACTTATAATAAGGTTGGTGTGTCAAATTGTCAATGTCATTGGAAGCTTTGTTTCCGTAGATACTCCCAAAAATAGATTGATAATTAACTGTGTTTCTGCCGCCCTCGGAGATTCCGATACAAGAGAAAGAAAACCAGAATAGGCAGAAAAGCAACAGACCTTAAAATCACCAATTTTTTTTCTCTCCTTTTATGCGCAGAGAAGGAAGAAAATAAGTTGAAAGATTTTGTATTAATGGGACAAATCAAAACGGGTCCTTCTGGTTCCGCACCTCATCGAGTCCAAGCAGAATATGAGCCACAATCTCAAGCAATTATATTGCTTCATGAGCCAACCGTTGGGGCTACTACACCAACACAAAATGAACAATCGGTCGCTGCAATCTACCAGAATCAACGGGGCTTAAGCGCCAATGATCTACTAACTCCACAGCTTGCTCAGCAGCAGCTAGAACAGCAACGCTACCAACCACAAACTAACCTGGCATACGAGGTTCCACCACCAGCTGCTCCGGCCCAGGGCGCCCAGTTTCCACCCCAAAGCTCACAAAACACTGAAGTAGTTTACACAACTGGACTGAACCACCTTGTGGAATACCCACCACAAAGCCGGCAATCAATCACAATTCAGCCAGGGCTGCTCCCGCCCCAAGGCCCGCAAACCCATGTGATGATGCACTCAAATGAGCCTAATCAGCACGCGATCTACCAACAACAAGAAGGACCACGTCCACAAGCAATATATCAGCAACCTCCACCTAGTTATCCTCAAAATATAGCCCAGCCATTTGTTTCCAATTGTGCATCACATTCGCAAACCTTTTACGAAGCTAGTTACCAGGTTCCTCCACAGTATGTGGTTATGCCGCCATACATTCATGGTACTGTGAGTCAAGTCACCGCTGCATCGGGGGTTCTACTGCCTGTTGAGGGCTGGAAAACTGGCCTGTTTGATTGCATGGATGACCCAATGAATGGTACTTGTTAACTAAGTCCTTGCTGATTAGTCTTCTTCATTTCTACTTGCATGCGAAAACACCTACAGAATACACTTTCGAAAGCAGATCGATTGCGCACAAATCAATTTTCGCTAAGAAAAATAAAAAAATCTTAAAAGTTATTGGTGCTTTTTGAGCACATATTTCTAAAGTTTGTCCAAAGCTTCATTAACTCTTAGCAAAATTTTTACGCCTGATAGATTCTATTGCTCGATCCATTCTGCCTTGCAGCTCTCATAACAGTTTGCTTCCCATGCGTGACATTCGGCCAGGTCGCAGAGATTGCGGACGAGGGCCATACCTGTAAGTCATAAATCATTTCTCACACTTTTCACCTCATTTTGTTAACAACAAAACTAAAAACTTTGGGTCTATTCAGTTGATGTACGTAGCGATTGGTAATAACATATCTTCTTCCAAGCCTGTTACAAATTAGAATTTTACATATAGATTCAATGATTTTAATCTTGGACCAATTTATTTAACAGCTAGCTCATGCTTACTTGACAGCTTGTGCAACCAGTGGATTGCTTTACGGTTTGATTGCATTCTTGATTGGGGTTCCCTGCATACTGTCATGCACATACCGCACGAAACTTAGGAACAAGTTTGGGCTGGAAGAGTCTCCAGCACCAGATTGGGTTACACACTGTTTATGTGACTTCTGCGCTCTTTGTCAAGAATATCGGGAACTTCAACGACGAGGGTGGGATCCATCCATAGGTAAGAAGTAAACAGAAACCTACTAAAATTCAAACCCAGACTACAAATAGTTTAACAGAGGACAAACTTAGCATATTCAATGGACACTCAAACAACCATATGCAAAACAACACCTACTGCAGAACGTTGATGGGAATTATGGGATAGTAGTCTTACATGAAAACATTTCGTCTAGACTGCCGGGTCAGTTTTTGGGTCCAATGAGCCGTGTCGGACCAGCTACTAGTAGGCCCCGATTTGGGCTTTGTTGGTCTAGTCCATGGCCTTCGTTGGTATGCTGCCACTGCCCGTGAAATGAGCATGTCAGGTCAACCCAACATACTACAGTGCTAGTTCAGCCCAGGATGACCCCCTTGACACTAGTTCGTCTCTAACGAGTCTAGCAGGGACAAACACAAACTTATTAATCATTTTAGGTCATAACTTCGTGTACAAATAGAAAAGAAACTTCAACAGTAATCACATAGTTTGACATTCTTCTTGTAATATGAAACATACAAAAGTTTATATACATGTTTAAGAGGACAAATGTAATATATGTGGACTTGTTTATGCATCGTTATATGTCATAAATGTTAGTTTCCTTGACATTTAATCTTTTACCCAATGTCAAAATCCCTTCATCAAAAGGTGAATATAAATAGTATTTATCTAAAAAAGGCAAAATAAATATCCCTTCATCAAGTATTCCTCCTAGAATTTATTCATTTAGTTCGAAAATTTAATTTTGGGGAATATAAGACATCAAATATCTAAATAAAGACTAACAGATATGTTAAAAATATTTTAATATAAGAAAATATATTAAAAAGTAACGCCTTCCATAAAGAATCAATCATAATTTGTAATATCACATAATTTCAATTATTAGGAATAAAAATGCTTACTTCATCATTTATAAATGCATATGTAAACATATATACTTGCATGTGTGTACACATATAATTTAAAATGCAATAATAGATTAGGCAACTTTATGTAAAAAGAATCAAAGTTGATGAACTTCTTTGTTGACTATTCTTACAAACCGTTTCTTATTGTGGGTTCCATATATAGGATGGCATGGGAACCTAGCAAAGAGACAGAGCATGCAGCAGCAGCAACACCTTGTCATGATGCCTCCAATCAACCAAACAATGATTGGTTGATAACTCCCAAATGGTTCAATATTTTGTTGTTCAATGTTCAATTGTTACTTTCTTCTTAATTAAGAGTGTCAAGGATGTCCAAGATTTGAACGTCTCTCTGAACTTCCTCGTATGTTAATAAATATTTATATTAATTTTAACCCAACTCCAATTTATTTAACCAAATAATAGTTTCATTTAATTAACTTATGTTTTTCTATTAATTGCAATGTTTTGAAATAAGAATAGAAGTTGAATCGGTGATAGCTTTGGTTTTCAGTTCAATTGATTCAATCAATTCAACCAGTTGATCCAATTAAAACGAGTTTTTAATATTGGATACATGATTTTGATATTAATTAGTATAAAATATAATAGATAAGAATACAAATTTAACTTAATTTTATGATTGTTTTAAGTTATACTCATATTCAACTACTATATCTATACAATGAATTGAATAATTAATGCTACATTTATATAATGAATTTAATAATCAATTAATAAATTATAATTTAATTAAATAAGTAAATGTACGTTCGCATAATAAAACTTAAATTTATGATCTCAAAATTTTAGGATCTAGTCCTTAATATTAAGTTGAGGCCTCATCGGTAACTTAATATTTTTTTGAGAAAATTATTGAAAGAATTTTTAAATATTTGAGATAGGGGAATTGCTATAGCACACATGATGAGAATGAGAAAAAGAAAAAAAAATATTTAATACAATGCATTGAAATAAGTGAAAAGACAAAAAGAAAAAAAATACTAAAGAAGAAAAAAAGAGCCAATTTTAATTCAAATCCTTAAGTTAATGAAAAGTAACATATGTTTATTTATTATAAATACAATATATTTACTTATTCACAATCCTATTTGGGAAGAACTTTAAAATATGCGGTGTCGAAGAAGAATTTCAGGATTGAAAATAAAAGTATAAAATTATAAAAAAAATTACATAAAATCTCACGTTTCCATAGATTTTGATTTGTGTCATGAGAAAAAAAAAAAAAAAAAAAAAAAAAAAAGGAAGAAAAAGCAATCCTACTCAGAAGTGAAATTATTTCTTAAATTGAACAGGACTTCCGTTCACTTTGCAAATCCCTATTTCACTATAATTGTCTCAGTTAATATATTAATATTACCTCCGAAGAAAACTCTTGTTCCCAGAAGAAGAAAAAAAAAATCAACATTAATCCATGAGCTTCGGGTTATTTGACGATACGGAGAAAGAAGTGGCGGCTATCCTGCTACAACTGCCTACCCTAATCATCACCAAACCTGCAGTTCCAGAATGGGGCATTAAAGGAAGAAGATCCCCCATTCATAAAATCAGCAGTACAGCTCCTCCTCGACACCGTCCTCCCCACCAATTCGACCCTATCCCCACAGCTGATCATAGTGTTGCTTCTCAGTTGGAAATTTCATGTAATGGTGAGAGTGACGATGGGAAGCCTGTTACTGATGACCAACGCATCACATTTATTGAAGAGACATCTTCCGAAACCAAAGCTGAACCTTCGGCCCTTGAACCAAGCAGTACTACTCTTCCTTGTCTTCCCAAAGACAAGGTAATAAAAATAAAATTTAAGCCTCCGAGGCCTGAAAAGTCTCCTCAACTTTGTTACGCTGATGAATCCAAACAAATCATAAACGATGAGCCTCCCAGCCCTATAGGAGATGTTTATCCTGCTGTTATGGTCATGGACTCTAACAAAAAGAGTTCCCACAAAAGGGTAAGTCTATTTCTCCTTAAATTTCAGCTAGTATCATATTTTTTGGGCTTAATTATTAAGAATATATTGCTAGCTAGTTAATTAATTATAGGCAATTTTGTTACGGATTTTTAACTATTATCACAAATTTTCCTCGTTAATTATATCTATGATGGATATAGATTATTCTGTGACAGATTTTTTTGGTCACAGATAGTGCAATTTCTGATAGTGTTGTTTTTAACGTTCAAGCTAGATCATCCATTGATACTTGAGAACTGAGAATAGCTAATTTGACTAATTTGGTTATTATGTTTGTTCGAGTTCTATAAAGTAATTGTTTTTTTAATCAATCCTTTTTCTTTTCTTATTTGTTTTCAGGCCAAAGAGGGATTTGAAGAGGGGAAGGCTGAGCTAGCTGTGCCAGAATGTCGTTTAGTTGGGGTAGGTCTCAAAATTCCTAGTTATTATTCAATAAATATGCTTGAGTTGTTTACAGTTTTTTTAAACCCTAGACTGCATTAATAATTGTACCAAAAATATTTTTTTGATTGAAGGGATCAAGAAAAATTAAAGCAGAGCCAACCACAGTGTTAGAGGCTAATCCCTTCGTACCTCGTAAAAAACCTGCCAAGGGAAAGGTAATTTCTGCGTCACTCACTGTCTTCTTTTCTTATTTTTGCAAGTGATTTCATCGAGTTTAAAACTGCATTAACAATTAAAACTGCATTCGTTTAAAAATAAGTGATAGATTTGATCATTATATTAAGTAGAATGATATTTGGACTCTCAAAAAATTTCGTCTCCAAGGGGACATCCCGCTAATTAGAAGTGAAGACTTCAGTTTGTAAATTTTTAGGCTATGGCAGGAGTGGACAGAAGAAAATCATCTTCCAATATTATGTAATCAAATATCATATACATATAATCTAAAAAAAATTTATAGTTGATATATTATTAGTGTCTAAATTTTATACACTATCAGAGTAAATCAAATGATAATAATTTATTAATGAGATGAATCAAATAATAACATATCATTAATGAATAAATTTTTTAAAAAATTTTAATTTATGTACATTTATTTTAAAATTGATATTTGCTTATTTATGAAGTATCATCATTTAATTTATTGATAATATATAAAATTTATACACTAACAATGTATTAAATATAAATTCATCTAAAAGTACCCATAAATATATGTAATTTAAAAATACCCACATACATACATACATACATACATACATACATACATATATATATATATATATATATGTATGTATTTGTTCAAGCAAGGCATGTGTTAAACTAGTACTGAAAAAATGGAGTTGCCTTTTGCAGTCGAAACAAGAAATGGAAAACGAACTGGTGTTTTGGGAACAGAATAAACGTGCATTTTTAGAGGTACGTAAATCTCAATCTACAAATATATATTTTTTCTTGGTGTGTTTTATTTGTTTTCTATATTGAAACTAAACCACAATTCATGCATGCATGGTATAATATCCAGTCGATAGACAAAGTAAAGGTTTACTTGGAAAGCCAAAAAGCTCTCAATTTGCAGCTCAAGGCCCGCAAACTACAGGTGTATATCTCATCTTCTTGAGCCCTTCATTTCGTTGCCTTACATTTGTTGTTATTGATATATGAAATTGATGATTAATTAATGTTTCTCTTATTGTTTTCTCAGCTTTCTGCAACAAAAACAAAACCTGATTCAGGGTGATAAATATACTCTTTCTTTCTTCAAAAGTGATGGTAAAAGGGATAGAGATGCACCTCACCATGATTTGTTTTTTCATTTGAGGAAGGGAGAATTAAAGCCCCTATAAAAACACCAAACGATGGGATAGTTGCGTGCGTACAAAGAGTCCTCCATGGCTTAAAGAATGTAAGATTAGAAATTGTTTTTTTTACTTGGTTATTCAATTACTAAGCATGTAATAGTACTCTACAATGAAAATTCTTGGAATTAGTCATGTAAAAATAAATTTCTCTTGATAATTATAGCTGTTAGAGATGATAATTATTAATAGCTAGCTAGAGAGACCAAAGCAGCTCACATTGTTTGGTAAGATTTTTAAAAAGCAAATGAATTTTAATGGTAAGGATTTAGGCTGCATTTGATGTGAATTAATATATAAAAACCTAGTTAATTAAAAGATTGATTAGTTTGAGAAATAAAAGTTCCCATACAGCGAAGAAAAGAAGGCAGGATATATGCTATAATTTCACATACATAGGATTATGAGATGGATGAGACAAACATTTAAAATATGCATGCATTGGAAATAGATGAATGATGCTCACAACAAAATCAAGACCATGCGACGATTTTGAAACTAAACAGGTAATGGGTTAGCACTAGGAATGTTGGATGAAGGATATGACCAGTAATATTTCGTGGGGTAATTTAATAGAAGCGAGATCATGACTGAATTGCAAGGTGATTCTATCCAGATGTAAGTTTCAGCCAACCATTACCAAGCTTAAGAAGGATTTATATGGTGAGATTAAGGTTAAATTTATCAATTTATTTATGTATCGATCAATATTGAATTTTGTTAGTACCAAAAAGAATTGAATTTTGTCACTCTATTTTAGTTTTATTGAATTTTATCATTATATTTTTAATTTTGTTAATTTTTTTATATAAAATACGGAAATTTAAGAAAATTTGCTATTATCACTAAAGCTCATGTGGTAAAAGTGTAAAAAGATGGTAGAGAGATCCTAAAATGTTCCATGTTATCCTCCAAGATGTAAACTAAAGAGAGGCAAAAACACCTGGAATTGAAGATTTAGGTATCTAACCTAACATAAAGAGGTATAAGAAATAAAACATGATAGAGGGACTTCTGCCACTGAAAGTAAACACCATTAGACTGCAAAAGGTTGTCAGTGTACCTAATGCAGGAAGTTACTACATTAAACACAAGTACCAATTATAGACAACAAATTCTCCAATCAATTACACATCACTGCATCTTCCTCTCAGTCCATTATCAAAAAAAGAAAGTGTATAAATCCAAATTGTCAAGGCCTTTTTATAACTTGATGGTAGAGGTACAATTTTGTTATGTAATACCAATAATATGATGAAACCATACTGCTAAATATTACACATTAAAATTGTTGAAATACAGATACCTTTAGAATGCATTTATGAACCAATCAAATCAAGACAGCAAGGCAAAACTGAACCAGAGACCAAACAAAAATCAAGAATAAAAACACTCATTCATCATCACATGGTTACAAATTTACACAGCTACAAGCCGGGAGATCAACCAAGAAAACC